CTAAGTTTTTTTTTTTTTTTCAGTTTTGGGGAAGCTGACCTGAATTATGGCAGTGGCAGTGCCTGGTCATTTTTTTCTGCTCATTTTACTCTTTCAAGAAAATTAAATTGTTCCTGAGGCACTGACAGCATCCTGTGCTCTCTGAAACAACCTGGGCCACCCTTAGGACCAAGGAGGATAATCTACCACCTTCTTCTGAGCATGGCTGCTCAGGGCAGCCCCATGAGATTGGCAAAACACAGTGGAAAACTGCCGGTCAAAAATGCAAACAAACCCAATCCTCACCTGTACCTCTACCTGCCAGAAATTAGAAGCACCAAGCAGAAAGCGTTGGTCATATCCAGAAGGGCTTTTTTATTCTGAGTTCGTTTTGATTTGCTGACAGGGTTTCAGTGTGACTTAGGAGGTGCGCTGCCCAAAACCAACATCTTTCTAGAACAAGTATGGCCCAAGAACGTGTTATGAATCCAGATTTAGCAGTCCTTGAAGTGAGCAAGCTCATGGTCCGAGCTGGTGGACATTAGCTGCTTAACATCTGCCTACGGATGTTCTACCATAAACCTCTCTCAAAGATGCTCCCTTTCCATTTTGCCTGGTCCCTGCAGGGACTGGCAAAGGTTGACCCTTTGCTGCAAGAGGGTCACGGCACAGAGACCTGTCGAGTCCCTGGGATGCCAGCCAGGCTGGAGCAGCTGAGGAGACACCACCTACAAGAAACAGAGGTGCCAGGTCTGGCAACCGCATCGCAGAGCAGCTGCGGAGACAGCAACGCCCAGAAGAAACTGGGAAAGAGCGCTGTGTGTGTGTGTGTGTCTTCTCTGTGCGGCACAGCTGAAGCCAAATACTACCCCTGGTTCTGTCGGGGAGGTTGCGTGAGATCCTTTCATGTTTTAATTAGGCAGCTGTGATGTTAGTGACTCAAGAGCGGGACAAACGGAGAGACTAACGTAGCAGTCGAGGCGCACACGCGTTATGCAAACAGCTTTTAGCAGGGAGCGTGTTGGCACTTATCGTCAGCGCGCAGCTTGCAAGCTGTCTGCGGCTCTTCCAGAGGCAGCAGAGAAACGCGGCCGGCCCCGGCTGCTTCCCAGGGCTGGAACGGCAGGAAGCATCACCCTGGGCACAGAGCTTCACGGGCTCAGCCTTCCTCCCGTGTCCCAGCTGGGGATCCTGGTGCCCATGGCATGGAAGGCACTGACTCCGGGAGGACGAGGTCTGCAGCATCAGCCCAGGTCATAGACACACCGACATGGTGACGTTTTCTTCCAGACCGCTTTAACCCCGTTAGCTGAAAGTGTGTTTTTCACTTTTATAAAGCTGTAAATCATCCTCACAAGCGTGGAGGTGATGTGACTCCCTTCCTCTGCCAGATACATGGACATCCCCCTCCCCGGGGGCTCCTAACAAATCAATCTGTACCGGCTGAAATACGACTCACGCAGTGACAACATTTTTCCATCAGTCAGGATTTTTCCATCATCGGTGGGATGGGGCTCCTGGGAAACAAGCAAAACACACTGCGTGATTTTGCCAAAAAAAAAAATTTAAAAACGGATAGGGATCGCTGCCCAACGGGTCTTTCAGCACCTTATTACGAGCCTCAGTGAGCATTCCCCACCTGGCCAAGTGAATCCACCAAATCCTGCTCTAAAGAACAACATGTATAAAAAGTTCACCCTTGGCTTGACTGGCCCCTGTGTTACCGGCGTTTACTCCAGCTCACAAGAACTTCCGTGGCCTTGACTGCACGCAGCCCTGGGAACGGCTGCAGGGAGCGTGGGGGCAAACCACAGCTGCCTCCAGAAGAGCAGGCAGAGCCATTTGGGGATGAGAAGGATAAAAGAAAGCTGCACATCTAGTGAAAAAAATAAAAAATATTAAAGAGTTTAATAGCAGCTTAAGACTGGGGGTTTTGGCAGCCCTAACACGGAGAGAAAATAAGCTCTGAACACAGGAGGTTCTAAAGTGCTTATAGTAACAGACACGTTCACGCAAGGAGCTTAGTGAAGGCAGCAGAAAGATGGTGTCCTTCCAGAGCTGGAACAAAGGGACCGGAGCAGCGACTTGTCCTCGGGCCAGACGGGCTCCTGATATTGCCACAGCACATCAACCGCGCGGCCGGCCGTGGGGCTGCCTGGGGATGGCTCTCCAGCGGCTGGACAAAGTGGGTTGCAGCTCTGGGGTGGACCTGTTTGCGTGTGCCAACGTCGGATGATACCTGCCATGAGGTCGTCTGTGCTGCTGGGAGAGCTGGCCACAATCTGGAGCTGCAGCCAGGTGAGAGGAGGATGGAAATGGCTCCTGACTCCATCTAAGCACCCAAGCAGGTTGGTTAAAGCCGTGCAGCGAGGCTGGCATGGTCAGGAGTATCTCAGTCACCTTGCACGTGCATCAGCACCTGTACAACAGATCTCGTGTGTCCCATGAGCCTTCAACACCGCGTGCTGCGAAAGCGCCCGTCAACATCGTTCTGCTCTGGAGTCCCAGGAGAAATAACGGAGCTCCTGGTACAGGGGGAATGACTCAACATCTTGGGTGTCAACCACACCACGAGTGGCACCCACCCCATGGTGGTCTGCACGGGGCACATCAGCCAGGAGCCTTCCATTGCAGCTCGTTGGAGCTGAAGATGCACCAGCCAGAGGTACCTGCTGAGGATGTTCCTGAGCTGAGGAAATACTGATTTTCTCAGAATTCTTCATGTGACCATGAAATCATTTTTCTCCCCTGCCTTGGAAAACAGTCCTTACTACGTCACCCTGAGAAATACGGTGGGGCAAGGAGACCAAATGGTCTCCAGGCTGGTCCCCCGTGTCCTGCCCTGCTGCTGGTTAATCCCATCAGGGAGACACATTTGCCCAAACAGGCTTGGCAGTGCTCACGCACGTCATGTTTTCCCCGAGGTGATCTTTCTGGCCTGGCAGGCTCTGCCTTACGTCTCTGGCTTCGCTACAAACGTGGAGTTAATCCACTTTTGGCAAGGAAGCCTGAGAATTTATGTTCGTGGAGCGTGAGGAGATGAAAAGGCACCGCGCAACGTATAATCTGAAGTGCTCTATTGAATTACCGTCATATGAATCAAAACGACCTTAACGACGCAACTTGGCTTGTTGCCACGAAAAGGGATGACGGTCCCAAGGGAGGTTTCAGAGTCCTGGTCCCTGGCTGTGCTCCCATCCCACTCTGGCTCCTTGGATGAAGAGCATCATTCTCCAGTGACCTATACCCTGCTCGAACCATGGGGAATTCAGCTTCTGGACCAAATGAGCTCTACACCCCATCAACTCCAGCTCTTGGATTTAAAGGTCTTCAGGGTAGCCCATGTAGTCCTTGCAGGTTCTCTGTGGTGCAAGAGCCCACCAGAATGGGTCACGTACCCCCAAACTCCCTTCCCACCCAAACCAGCACAACCTCAGGCTCTTACCTGGTCTGCTTCGGAGTAGGGGTTGTTCAGGACCACAGGCACGTTGCTCTTCCCCCACAGGTCACCAAAGACACGGTCGTTCTCCATCTGAGCCGGTAAGGCTTTCTGTGGCTTGTTTTCCCCTTCCCTGAAACTGAAGGGTTAAAAACCATTTGGGTCAGGGGGCCGGAGGATGGCTGGGTGCTGGGACCACGGGGTCAGGTCCCCGAGAGATGGCTCCAGGACCTCCTCCAGCTCCTTCCCGCAGGAGGGAAAACTTGTGCATCATCCTGCAGGAGGGGAGGAAACGCTTGGACTCGGCTGTGACTCACCACGGCGAGGGCACCCCAAACACAACGGAAATTTCGCCTTGTAGGCGAGCGCAGCACCTGCGAAACGACAGGAAACCCCTGCCCCAACGCTGGCTCCAGCGGGGCTACACCTCTGCACCCCAAAACCCAAGCTGGAGCTCTGCGAAAGCAAGCACGGAGCTGGGGGAAGGAGAGCCACGTGCAATTCCAGCTGCAAAACCTCATGGCAAAACCTCATCGCAAATCCAGACGGGTTTGCAGAGTCGCTTGGTGTTTATGAGCGGAGGAGAAGGAAAAAAGCCAAGAAAAAATAGGTGGCTCCCAGGAGGGAGAGACAGCTCTCTCTCCTCTTCCTGACCTTTACAGATGCTGCAAATGCCGGCGAGCGTAAGCGATTTCACTCAAGCAAACTGATGGATTTGCCTCCACGGAGCTGGAGACGTGGGTAGGGCTGGGCTGAGGCTGTCCCAGCGCGCGGCAAGGCTGGTGGAAGTCCCAGCACACAGGGTCTACCACGCACGACTCGCCCGGGGAACGTACGGCGGGATGTCGATGAGGCTGTTAAATGCCACCCAAGCAGATGATGGAAAACCACTGCCATACGAGCCCTCGGGAAGGAGAAAAACAAATGGGGTTTAGAGACGTGGTATTCAGAGAAGGCAGGCTGCGGCATCCGCGCCGAAGGCACCGACCGCCCTGGGGAGGCCACACATGGGAAGTAGCTCCATGGGTTGGGCTGGATGGGGCCACAGGGCAGGACGGGCACAGCCCCGCGGCTCGCAGCCACGCTGCCTTTGCTCAACGCACCACAGAGGTAATGTGCTCTGGCAATTGTTTTGCTCCTGCTGTCAGTTCTTAAAAGCCTTCCAGATGCCTGCTAAAGTCAGTAATGAGCCTTCCCATTAACCACGGCGGGCTTTGGGCACAGACCAAAGTAGGACACTTGCACTCAGGACTTTGCCAAGGGCATGTAGTGATAGGACAAGGGGCAATGGCTTTAAACTGAGAGAGAGAAGATTTTGATTAAATATAAGGAAGAAATTTTTTACAAGAGGGTGGTGAGGCACTGGCACAGGTTGCCCAGAGAAGTTGCACTGCCCCATCCCTGGAAGTGTGCAAGGCCAGGTTGGATGAGGCTTTGAGCAACCTGGTGTAGTGGAGGGCGTCCCTGCCCATGGCAGGGGGGTTGGAACTGGATGATCTTGGAGGTCCCTTCCAACCCAAACCGTTCTATGATTCTATAATTCACACCAACACGGTGCTCTTGACACTGTCACAGGAACGCACATACGTACAAACTAATGCAATTTCACAATCCTCTTGGCCCTCCAGCTCGTATATTTAGGTACAGCTTAAGAAAAATACTTCACTTAAAGATGATCTCCCTGTGCTCTAAGTTTTCTGTAATTTTTCTGCCTTTACAGAGCAATGTTCAGCTGCCAAAATACTACACTGTGCTCCTGGACACCTTCCAAGCGTTGGCTGCCCTAGGGTGAAAGTGGCCAGCTTGGTGCAAGTGAGGAGGTAGAGGTGCCTTAGGGGCCCTTTTACTGGGTTTTGTATGCCCCCCCAAGGAAAAAAAAGCTGTTCTTTTGTGACTTGGCTGCTCCTACCAGCGCCTGAAATGGTTTCAATCAGATAAACCACAAGAAACCCCACCCACCGCACAGCCGCAGCCAAAGTCAACAGGTCCTGGCCCTCTGCTACACGGTGGCCACGCACGTCCCGGGGCTGGGGACAACCAGGAACCACATAGCACCTACTCTGCCCTCTACCAGCCCATCCAAGGGGGAAGCTCAGAGTCTCTTGACACGTTCAGCCAACCTCCATCGAGACAATTCCCAGCAGCGAGACAGAGGATTAGCAGGATGAAAATTCAGCAACTCTGGCTCTTCCCCGTAAGTCAAGGCCAGCTATTAAACCTCCCAGAGAATACTGATTCCCACGGCTGCACACGCCTGCTGTCTTGCCCTGAGCCCCATCATATCAAGAAGAGTAGAGACAGGTCAACACAGAGCCACCGAGCACCTGAAATGATGAGTGTACATGACCCATCTCTTGCAGCTGATGAGCCCCAACCTGCTGCTCCCCATAACTGGCCCAAAATCAAGACACAAGCACTAAATCCATAGGGTGACGGAAGAAATCCCTTGGCTTTACTGGTGCCTGGGACTAAGCAGAGGGAATCTGCCTCCTGAGGAGACCACGGTGCCTCTCCAGGGTCAGACTTGGCCTCTAGGCAGACAGGAGAGGCTTGGACAGACCAACCCCAGCGTGCCAGATATCCCACAGGTGCCTCCAAAATGGCACTGAGCAGACGTCTGCAGGCGCCTGGCATGACCTGCAGTTTCCAGGAAGGTGTTTGCAAGGCTGTCTGAACGGGCATCTGCCAGCATGAGGGAACTTTGGAGAGGAATCCATCAATCGGCAGCAGCAGCCGGAGGTGCCGGCTGGGAGGCTGCATGGATAATCTCATTGCCTCCACACCAGCAAAGCCATAAATGCTGATACCTGTGCCAACAGCACGGAAAAAGACCAGATGCCTGAATTAAGTCATCGCTGCGGTCGGCTACGTTGTGTATTACAAGTATCTCTGGAGTGGGGCGCCTCTCCCGTTCACTGGCCTCCAGCATCACCCAAGGAGCAAGATGCAGCATCCTGAGGAACAGTGAAGTCCAGATGGCCATCAAGGGTTGGATACTCAGGAGCAAACGCTCCACGTCCCATTGCGTGTTTGCAACTGGGGCAGGAACGGGTTGGGTACTGGTGTCCTTGGGGGACTTAGGGCTGCGGCAGCGAGGTGCTGCCCTCACCCTCGGGCTCTGCCCTAGACGCGCGGTCAAGCGTAGCTGCAACAAAGCCATCAGACTGAGCTGGTGGTTGTGCCTCTCGCCTCCGCGCCGGTGTCATGCCGCAGTTTGCCAGCTGGGGAGGTCCATCGGGTGCATGCCCCTGCGCCGAGCCAGCACAGACCTCTCCCGGATGAGGCTGCCCAGAAGTATCCGGCTCTGTCTTTTGGAGAGAGGCAGGGAGAGAAAAGCCCATTGAGAGCAGGCACAGCCTCACCCCAGATGGGGGTGAAAAAAAATAAAAAAAGATCAATTGCTTCATTTTACGATTATTTCCTGCCCATTTCTCAACTGCCTTGTTTGCAAGCTCGGACAGGAACAGGGTCTTTCGGGTCAGTTATTTTCCTCTCTTGACTTGGCTTCCCCAGCCACCAGCGGAGACGTGGGGTGACCGGCCACACTGGTATGAGGACGCGCTCAAGGAGCCTGGCAGGATGGCCAAAACACTGTGCCACGGCTCAGCCTCCGGGTGATGATTCCAAAAGCACTTTATTGACAGGGGAGCCCAAAGGAGCGTTCTCACGGGTTCCCGGTGAGCAACGGGGAGGGAGCAGTTCCCCCGAGGGGGGTTTCGAGGCAGCCAGGTTGGGCAGCTCCAGGGAGTCGCTTGTTTGGCTGAACTCTCCCAAAGGCCAGATCCAGGATCTGGAGATCCCACTGCCAGATCTGATAAATACTACTTCAGCCTTAACAAAACATTTTGGATCCAGAGTGAGTTTTGGGGAAGGGACCCCATTTGAGGTGGTCTTTTGTTCCGAAAGCGGAATTTGTTGGTTAAAAAAAAAGGAAGCGGAATTCTGCCGTCCCGCACTGGTGCACAGGCACAGCCTTGGATGCTGCCTCACCTCGGGAAGAGCATCTGGCTGCTTGGAGAAATGAGAGGCACCACTGTTTTCTTTTGACTAATTTGATGATGTTGCAGTGCTCGGAGTGATGAGGCAGAAGGGAAGTTGCTGAGACAGCCCTTTTGAGAAATTTCTCCAAAGCTTTTCCAAAAAGAAAGAGAGGGGAAGAAAAAAAAAACACGGAAGAGGAGCAAAAAAAAAAAGTTTGTCACTTGGCTCCTTTGAATTTGCTCGGCAGAAGGATCTCTCTGATTTCCAGGCGGAGACGAGAGGCACCGCTGGCTGCTGCAATCCCCGGGAGCCAATTTGGATGAACCGCTGAAGACACGGATGTCCACGCTCCCGATGACGGCTCTTCGCGCTGTGATGCCGAGGGCAGCGCCCGGTGCTGTGACCGTGGGGGACGGACTCCTTCCAGGCCTTCATCCCGGCAGCCGGACACCCTACGCGGGCGCTTGGGACCTGTGTGAGAGCCTCGGGTGTGTGCACACTGCTTGCTCCAAGCTGCGGGAGAAAAATACCTTCTTCTTCCTTCCTTCCCTTCTCCTGCTGTGTCCTTAGCGGTGGCTGCAAGGCTCTGCAGCGTTGTTCCCCATTCCAGTGCCCGATGTTGGGGTAAACAGCTCTCCCCTTTCTTTTGCCCCATGGAAAACCATATCCCAGAGGGCACGGCATCCTCAGAGGGTAATAATTCCTCGTTATCACACGCCTGGGGCAGCTCAGGGCCTGAGAGATTGGAAAAGTCTGGCTGCGGGCTCCTCACCTGGTTGCTGGGAGGGGTAAGGCAAGGTCTTGTACAACGGCACGGGTGGGAGGGAGAGGTGGGTGCAGGGATGGGGCAGGAGCTGGGATTTGCAGGGTG